CCCAGGCTAGACGCCCTCAGGTGTGTGCAGCCTGTGAGGCCCCCGGGAGCCGCTCCCGAGGTCTGTGGCACACTCTCACCCTGAGCTGCCCACCAGAACCACAGGGCCCACAGGGACCTGGAAGCTCCTGCAACAGGCGACCTGTGCCCAACTCAGGCAAAGCCATGTGCAGCTACATCGAAGCCAAGTGAGATGAGCCACGCGCTCTGGATGGAGTGAGGCCCCTGCTCCGAATGCGCCTTGGAACAGAGTGTGTGGACTCCTACCGGAAGGAGGAGAGGGCTAGGCCCCCGCTGTCCACGCGCTCGTCCAAGTCAGACGTGTCTGGGGGACCCTCTCCACGTATCCCAGTGAGTTGCAAAGTGTAGGGGTCCTGGTCATGTGACTCACAGAGGGCTAAAGGCCACCTTGAGGGGACCATGTGGAGCCCTTGCGCCCCCTGGTGGCCGTGGGTGAACTTGTGCCCAGGAGCGTGGCACCTGTTGTACACCCCCGAGGGAGAGCAAGATTGCAGAGGAGGGGAGGGGCGGGGCGGGGCTGGGCGGGCTGAGGCGCTGCCCAGGAGGAGCCAGGGACTTGAGAAGGGCAGAGGACCACTCGCTCACAGCCCCGAGGCAATAAACCACAAAGAAGGGGGCTCCGGGCCAGAGCCCAGGAACGCAGCCCCCCAGCAAGCAGCCCGTGCCTGTGTCTCAGCCGGGAATGACCAAGTGCCTAAGGCTGCAGCAGCCGACCCAGAGGCCCAGATGCCCACAGGTCAGTGGGCGGTGCTGGGTACGGCCCTCCATCTGCGGCTCTGAGCGCTGCACTGGGCTAGCCGTGCGTGCCGCCCTCGACCTCCAGTTGAAAGACAAAAGCCAGCAGTGGAAGTATGACCAGCTTTGGCAGAGCAGCCGGGGGAATGACTTTCTCCGAGGTCGAAGTTGAGGCCTAGCGGGGTCCAGTTCACACTTATCTGCCCGACCTCTGGAGAAGGGCCCAGGCTGTCCCACCAGCATCCCTGCAGGTCTCCCCGCCCCACCCTCGGCCAGCCCGGGAGAGTGGGTGCATGGCTGTAGGCAGTCCAGCGGGTGGACTCACCTGCCCGGTCCAGGATCTCGAAGTCCAGATCTGTGTCACTGGCCGTGGCTCCTGGGGTGGCTCCCAGGTCTGGGCCCAGGACACCCGGGATGCTGGTGTGAAGCACATGCAGAACCCACTCAGCACACAGTGCCCACCCTCAGGACCTGCCTGGGACCCCCACACCTTCCTTACCTTAACGGCCAGGGGTCGTCCAGGAGGTCCTCTGCCGCCCGCTTGCAGAGGGACTGCTGGCTGGGAGGCAGGGGGCTGTGGGAGCGGAAGCTGTCCTGCTGATCACGGCTGGACGTGGCGCTCAGGTCTGACCAGAGCTGAGACTGGGGAGGGCAGGTGGAGTCAACGGGGCCACCACGGGCTTTCCTGCCCCTGCCACCTCCCTGGCTGCCCCACTGTGCGAGGCAGATAAGCCACGCGCCCGAACTGAGCGGAGGGACACGGCAGGGCAGGACCACCCAGGCAAGCTGAGCACCAGCCGTGAAGGGCTCCCGGCAGCTCAGTCCCCACGGTCAGCCTATGGACCGGCATCGCTGTCCCTCTCACGGTGAACTGAGGCCCAGAGAGGCTGTGTTACTGGCTTCCCAGGGGATGAGTGCAGTCCTGGAGAGAGGAGGCTGTGTTCGGGACACCGCGGGTGAGGCAAGATGCCCCTGTGAGCAGGGCGCTGCAGGCCCAGTTCAGCGAGGTTCGAGCCAGCCCTCTGCTCCCCCAAGCATCCCCGGAGCACCCTCCTTGTGCAAGGCCCTTTCCCAATGTGGGACGCACACCTGAGGACAGGTGCCACCCCGACCCAACCAACCAGTGAGGGCTGGGCACACAGGGGTGTGGGAAGCCAGGGTAGACTTCCTGGAGGGGGTGACACAGACAGAGGAGGCGGGTGAGGGTAGAGGGCACATTCCAGTGGCTGCCCGCAGAGACCTGGAAGAAGGAGGTCTCCGCCATGGTGAGCAGACCGTGAAGTCCAGGGGGAGCTGGGAGAAAGGTGCTGACCTGCCTCAGCTGGCCCTAGAGCAGGCGGTGGGGAGCCGGGAGGGGTCTGCTAGGGAGAGCCCAGCAGGAGCCGGTTCTGAGCCTCTGCGGTCCTGCTGTTCCCGCCCACCACAGCTGGGCACTGTCCTGGGGCAGCAGGTGTGAGGGCGCTGAGCAGCCTCAGATGGGAGGGAGCTGCGCCTGGATGCGGTTTAGGTCTGGGTTGCTCTGGCACGCGAGGTGCCGGCACTGGATGGGAATCTCCCCTCATGTGTGCTCTGTGCTCTGGGGAAGAAGCCTCCTTCCTTCTATTTCCAAGGGGTCGTGAGTGGGGGGCTATGTCTGAGGCCCTGCAGGTGCAGGGACAGTGTGGGGACGCTCCTGGTCAGTCCAGGAAGAGACTACCCTGGTGGCCTGAGGCAGCAGGTGAGAGTCAGTCTGCTGTTGCCTGCCCCCCGACAGCCGGCTCAGGGATGCTCCCTGTACCCTGCACCGGGGAGGCCCTGTGCCCTCTGCAGGGAGGCCCTGTGCCCTCTGCGGGGAAGCCCTGTGCCCTCTGCGGGGAGGCCCTGCGCCTTCTGCGGGGAAGCCCTCTGTGGGGAGGCCCTGTGCCCTCTGCGGGGAGGCCCTGCACCTTCTGTGGGGAAGCCCTCTGTGGGGAGGCCATGTGCCTCTTTACTTTTCCAAAGGATGAGCACAGAGCTGAGACACAGGCTCCGGAAACCACCACGACCTGACGCCCCAGGAGCAGTGTGTGCTGAGCTGACTGGGGTCCTCCCCACATTCACTTCACCCACCTGGGACTGGGCCCCAGACTGGGTCTTCCCAGAAGGCGTAGACTAGGACGAGGCTGTCCTGGATTGGAGTGGGCCTAAGTCCCACGTACTGGTGTCCTTCTAGGGGAGGGACATCTGGACAGAGACCCAGAGGGGACAGTGTGACATGATGGTGGAGACAGGCTTGGAGCCAAGGGCTGAGGAAGTCACAGAGCGGGAGAGGCCAGGAAGGGCCCCTCGACTCCCAGAGGAGAGCATCGGCCGGGCCCCTGGGTTTGGACTTCTAGCTTCCGGGCTGGTGGAGCGTCTGTCTCCGCGTACAGCGGTGTGTGGGCCTTCTCCCATGGGGATGCAATGCAAGAGCCTCCCTCGGTCCTGACCGGCCAGAGCGGGTGGGGAGCTGGCCCTACCTCGGTGGAGCTGAGCAGACTGCAGACACCGTCCTCACGTGGCCATATGGCGTGCATGCGCACCAGCCGCTGCTTCCCCTGCACGCAGGTGTCCCGGGTCCCCGCTTCCTGCTTGGGCTGCCAATGATAGGCCAGATGCTGGCAGTTCAGGAAGGGTTCTCCGTGCCCTTGGGGTTCCGACCGGTCACCCCACCACCTCCACCCTCCAGGTAGCTCCTCTCCTCCGAGTCTGGACTCAGTGACACGCAGCCGACAAGCTGGGAGAATAAAGCGACTCGCTCGGTGGGTGGGGTCCACGTTTTAGTGACCACGTGTTGTTATTCACTATTTATAAAAATAACATGCCCTCCCTCTACGCATCACACACATGTATACACTACATGGAAAACTAGGGAGGCACAAGCAATTGGAGAAGAAAATAAGATGTGCCCGTCACCCCCTCCTCGGAATTAGCACTTTGCACTTGGGTCTGTCTTCCCAATCTTTTTTCTGTATTCAGATGCATGTTTTGCAACAAACAGTTGATGCAGGAGTTGCCTGTGCAGGAGCAAGGGAGAAGGAGACCCTGGGGGGGTCCAGCTGTGCCTACTGCCCAGGCCCACAGCTGCCTTGGAGAGTCTTGCCCCCACCCCCCCGCAGGTGCCTGCAGCCTGCCCACAGTCGGGTTTGCAATGACCTCAGCCCCTCGGGAACTAAGTCCCTTCTGCATGTGTGCTCGGCATT